ACATCGATCAGCTGCCTCCTGCACATCTCCCACTGGGGATGTGCCTGCAACCCAGGTACATGCCCTTTACCGGAATCGAACCTGGGACCTTTCAGTCCACAGGCCGACGCTCTATCCACTGAGCCAAACCGGTTTCGGCTGTAGTTAAGTCTTGATTGCTGTTGGTATCACTGGGAGGAATTGACCACCAGGCCAGTTGGCTGTGAAGACCAGCTATGTCTACAATGGGAGAACTACTATGCTGGAGACACCCTTATGGAGCAGCACTTCCTTCAGTGGGGCTTTGGTGCTCACTGAGTCTGCCCCCTGAGTGTGTCGCTTATGGATATGAAGAGTTGTACTCTGGTATGGTCTCACTCTGACCACTGGGTACACTGGCTCTTGAATCTCCAAGGAGGTGCAAAGTCAGCCACTGCCTGAGGACACCCAGTAGGAGCTACAGAGAGATCTGCAGATTCCTCCTCTTTGTTTGGGGTTTGGAAGTGCCCAGATGAGGCACAGCTGTGAAGCAATACAGGCTGCTGTCTAGGCCTTGTTTTGGAAGCTTTGGCGCTCTTTGACCATTCTAAACCATATGAGATGTACAACCTGAGAAGAAGCTGAAGTTTGTTAGGTTTTTAGATTGCAAAAGAATAGCCCATTCATAAACAAGCTATGCTCACAGCTTGGGTGGAGTTGTAAATTGGGTGGGGCGGGCTCTCAGGGAATCATCAGGGCTTAGCAAACAACAATGGCTGCCAATCTGCTCTGCCTCGGAGAGGTCCCAGGATCTCTGTGGCCCACAGCCCTGTGCAGGAACAATGATCGCTACAAGCACCTCTATGAGAAAGCCACCGTCTGGTTCTGGCCTGATGCCAGACAGTCCAGTTTCTCCCCATATGTGTCTGGATCCCCAGAGTCTCACCTGAAACTGGAGTTCAGAGCAACTGGGAGCTTGTATCTCCCTCCCGATTGAAAAGACAACAGCATACCCAGTTGCCAGCCCATTTCCGCATGTGCCTTCGTCCCTCTGCACTTCCATACCTCTGCATCTCCTACCAGTTTCAATGTGCTTTCCTCTTTTCTTCTAGTTGTAGAATTTCCACTCAGCCAGCCTTTCCATGGTTCTGAATGATATCCATTTAATCTTTTAGTTGTGGTTTTGATGTGGTTGTGCGAGGCAGCAACTACAAGTGTGTACCTATGCCACCATCTTGGTTCCTCTTAGGAAGTCTTTCTTAAAGCATATGTTATTCTGGTTGCATCTTAGCATGGGTTATCACTTTAGCATAAGAGCATATAAAAGCAGTGTTCTGCATGCACTCATTATCCTATTTCTATTAACTATAGGTATAATGCTAAGTTCCGACTTGTGCTAATGTATCTTGTGTTTACATGTTTATTGGCAAATTAAAAGCATGGTTATTTAAATAAGCACTTTCTTGATTACTAGAAAAATAGCTGACAGTAAGCAAGGAAAACTTTTTGAATCTCAGAGAATTAATTATGTCATAATCATTTGCTAAGGATTTACAACACATTACCCACAACTCTGAGCAGTCAGAATAAGTGTAAGACACCATTCTAAACCATATGAGATGTACAACCTGAGAGGAAGATATAAACTTGACAAATTAATGAATAATAGTAAAATTCAGCTAATAAAGTGCTCAGAAGTGCTATATAAGGAAGAGAAATCCTCACCCTCACATACACTACATATTAAATATTCACACATATGAATTCTACTCACACATTTAATCATTATAATAATCCCATGGTTAATATTATTATTCCTGTAACTATGTTATTAAAAACTATTATTATCGCTTCCGCGCTACCCAGGGAGGGCTCCATACGGCGTTGTTCTCGGTTCCCACGTAACTTAAAGGGAAACTTTTCACAATGTCCGGAGCCCTTGATGTCCTGCAAATGAAGGAGGAGGATGTCCTCAAGTTCCTTGCAGCAGGAACCCACTTAGGTGGCACCAACCTTGACTTCCAAATGGAACAGTACATCTACAAAAGGAAAAGTGATGGCATCTACATCATCAATCTGAAGAGAACCTGGGAGAAGCTTCTGCTGGCAGCTCGGGCCATTGTTGCCATCGAAAACCCAGCTGACGTCAGTGTCATATCGTCCAGGAATACTGGCCAGCGAGCTGTGCTGAAGTTTGCTGCTGCCACTGGAGCCACTCCCATTGCCGGCCGCTTCACTCCTGGAACCTTCACCAACCAGATCCAGGCAGCCTTCCGGGAGCCAAGACTTCTGGTGGTTACTGATCCCAGGGCTGACCACCAGCCTCTCACAGAGGCGTCTTATGTTAACCTGCCCACCATCGCTCTGTGTAACACAGACTCTCCGCTGCGCTATGTGGACATCGCCATCCCTTGCAACAACAAGGGGGCTCACTCAGTGGGTCTGATGTGGTGGATGCTGGCCCGCAGGTGCCCTCTGTACCCATTCAGCAGTTTCCTACTGAAGGTTGGAGTGCTCAGCCTGCCACTGAAGACTGGTCTGCAGCCCCCACTGCTCAGGCTACTGAATGGGTAGGAACAACCACTGAGTGGTCCTGAGCTTTTCGTCCACAAATTCTTAACGGAACGGAAATAAGGTTGATGGAAAATAAACAGTTTATAAAAAAAAAACAAAACTATTATTATCCTCCCTGTTTTACATAGGAGGCATTTTAGGTAGAATCATGCAACATGCTCATGGCCACTTGAGTTAGTAAATTCTAGAACCAGGATGCAAATTCAGGAAAAATAATCCAGAGACTTGCACTTAGTGAACTGAAAGGTATAGTAAAGCCTTAGAATTGCTGGTGTGGGATTACAGGAGGAAAGTCTCAGAAGATTGTTGAATGGTTTTAATCATGTGGCTGAGACCATAAGTAAGGCGTGAAAAATTTCATATGGCTTTTTAAGATTCTTGATTTCCTAAGTATAGTATCAAAAGTTGCAAACACTTGGAAATAGATTAATAGTAGGCATTAGCAGGTAGGGGTGGGGAAAACAGCGTGAAGGAGTCTGCAAGAGACTGGTTAGGTAAGACAGTAGGCAAGTTGAATGGGGTAGGGCAAAAGTACTGATTGTAGCTAGGTAGCTGAACCTGGCAGGCTGAAGACACTTGTTTATCTCTGGTCCCGTCTCAAAACCACTAAAAAGAATAAAACGATGTAATCCTGTAAGGACCAAAAGAAGGAGACACAGCAGAAAAAGAGTTGTCAAGAATTTGGGGAGATGAAAAATGGATAATGGAAATGATTTAGCGGAGGCAGACACAGCCAAACTTCAATACTTAGAGGAGGTGGAAGAAGCCAACAGGAGGAAACTCATTCTCGCTGCCAGCTCCTCTAATCAAATTGGAAGAGGCACCAATGAAGCCTGACATGGTCTTAAATGACGGGGTTGTGAGTAGTTTGTTTTGTTTTGTTTTTTAGTTTCTATATGATAAATTATTACTTCCTGAAGTGAAAAAGAAAATTTCCAAAACAAGATTTCAAATTGGAGCAGTTCTAGGCAATAGCAAAATCTGAGCAGTAATACTGGGAGGCAGGTTATGGAATAGCGAGAACGTCCCTTAAATTTGAACACATCAGGAATCTTGAGCCCACACTATATAGCATGTTATCAACATGCACATTGAGACTGACCAAAATAATGAAATTGACCAAATGGTGGACCTGCTGGCTTGTGAGAAAGTAAACCTGGGAGATAGAGGATGGGAAGGAGATTGAGACCCGAGGGTTAGTTGTGGGCTTGTGGAAAGGACAAACCCATGAGCCATCACTTGTATTATTTCTGAGGCTGTCTGCATTTTGGATAATGAAAAATTCACTATTTGACAAAAGAAGCCACTGACATTTTTAAACCATGTGAGACGTGACAACAAAGCAGTCTAGCTTATTTCCTGCAATTCCTGAGTAGTATTCCCATTCAGGCTCCAAATAAGCCCCTCCCATTTTGGACCATGCACAGGATCTAAGAGCCTGAAATGCAGCATCAGACTTCCTTTCTGCACCTCACGCTTGCTCCTAGACATGCCTTTCCAGGCATCTGACATCATGGTTTCATTCTGTGTTTCATCGTGTTGGCAAATCCTCATCAGGAAAAGTAAAAGTGGACAGGAAGGCGAAACAATAAATTGCTAGTCATGCCAAGTGAATCATGCACATTTATACAAGAGGCTGCAAGATGCTGGATGGAAAAGAAACAGTCTAACTTTCTTAAGCTCCTTTGAGTTTTCACCATCTCTCAATAATTCAAGAAGGGCCCTAGCCAGTTTGGCTCAATGGATAGAGCACCGGCCTGCAGACTGAAGAGTCCCCGGTTTGATTCCAGTCAAGGGCACATGCCCGGGTTGCGGGCTCGATCCCCAGTGGGGGGTGTGCAGGAGGCAGCCAATCAGTGATTTCTCTCATTCTTGATGTTTCTAACTCTCTCTCCCTCTTCCTTCCTCTCTAAAATCAATAAAAATATATTTAAAAAATAATAATTCAAGAAGGAAGATACACCTCTTAAACCTGAGTTTCAAGGACTTCATGACCTTGCTTCACCCTAATTTACTTAAGTTTTTTTTCTGTTCTCACTGTTTCCACCATTTTCATAACTTTCACTTTACAGGTTCGAATCCCAGTGGGGGCACATGCCCAAGGCAACAAATGGAGGTTTCTCTCTCACTTCAACGTTTATCTCTCCCCCCCCCCCTTCTTCTCTCTCTAAAATAAATAAAAACATATCATTGGCTGAGGAAAATAATACTAATAATTGCTCTATGGGTTGCAATGTCTGTTATAGCTTTATCACAGTTTACTTAGACTTGATATTACAATGCTAATAAACTTATACTAATAAATACTTGCATAAACTCCCCCATCCTCTGTGTTGTTTTTATTTTACCTTTCTATATATACACCCCAAAATATAATACTATATGTTATTTAAATAATTTCTTATGTTTCAAAAACAACTACCTATGGCTGAGATTCTTTTTTTAATATATTTTATTAATTTTTTACAGAGAGGAAGGGAGAAAGATAGAGAGTTAGAAACATCGATGAGAGAGAAACATCGAACAGCTGCCTCCTGCACATCTCCTACTGGGGATGTGCCTGCAACCCAGGTACATGTCCTTGACCGGAATCGAACCTGGGACCTTTCAGTCCGCAAGCCGACGCTCTATCCACTGAGCCAAACCGGTTTCGGCGGCTGAGATTCTTATTAGAGTTGTCTTTTGGACAGAAAAACATAGCCTGTACAGTCCTTTACTACTCAGACTCAAAAGTAGAAAGAAGTTAGTTTCATTTAGGCCACATGTTCCCAATACTTTTATCTGTAAAATTCTCCCTTCCTTCCTTCCTTCCTTCCTTCCTTCCTTCCTTCCTTCCTTCCTTCCTTCCTTTCTTCCTTCCTTCCTTCCTTCCTTCCTTCCCTTTACCTTAAAGAGGTTTCAGACTTTCTACACCAAACCTAGATCTGAGACTAGAATTTATTGATTATCTGAATGGTTTTAGGCAAATCAGTTAACTTTCCTAACAATTAATTTTCTCCTATAAAGTAGGAATAATAAAAAGTTTTTTCCCCCATATTACAAGGTTGCTGTACATATCAGATACAACAATGTACATGAAAAGACTCTTGAACTAGATAGTGCTCATGACTGCTACATATCTGTTTGGAAGGGCATGTTGGTGAGGGGGCAGGAGCAGGGTGGAGGGGGTCAATGGGGGTAAGAGGGGGTCGTCTATCATACTTTCAGCTATAAAAATAACTTTAAAATATATTTTTAAAAAGAAACAGTATATAATGGACTCTGTTTAAGAGACAGAGAAGAGTGGTTGGCATTTGTTCTTTCTTCTGCCCAGAATGCTTTTCCCCAAGATATTCATAAGACTCACTCTCTTACTTCATTCTGGCCTCTGTTCATATATCTTTTTAGAAAGAACATCCCCTCTGGTCAGCCTCTATCACTTTGCCTTGCTTTACATTCCACAACAGTACTTATCACTTTTTAACATATTATTTAACAATATTTTATTGACTTTTTCATTCACTTTAATGTAAATTCCAAAAAAGCACTTTTTCCTCACTGCTGTATTTCCAATGTTGAGATTAGTGCTAAACAAATGGGGATCCCTCAATAATTACTTAGCATACAAATAGATTAATAGTAGGAAAAAACACTCCAAACTAATAAGTTTGATTTACCTCAATTATCTAAATAACTTAATTATTCTGGGCAATAAATGGTTGTAAAAAGAAAACTAATAATGTTTACGAAAATGAAATTCTTGAAAAATTGAGCTTCAATATTAGAACATTTTTTAAAAAACCTTTAATTGATGCGTATTTTCTGTTTTATATTTTCATATACTTTATTTTCAATAGAATCAATTATTAAAAATATAACAATTATTTTATGTTTACATCTTTGTAAGATTTTTTTCTATCACATAATATAGAAATATACATACATATTTTATCACACCATATGTCAGCAAGAATCACTTTTCAGATTTTAGGCATTTTTAGATCACATTCATAATTTTGGGCCATACCACATACCTGCTATATGTAATGTTTTCTTTTTATTTTTTACCTTAAAACAACTCTCTTTACTGTTTTCTACATATCCTATCTCTAAGTACTAATATTTGTGAAATCACAAGTTTAATTTAGTTACAGTTTTTAAATATATAAGTTAGACATACGATTATTAAAATAAAAAGCTCATCAACATATGTCCAAATCATGTCTAGTATCCCCAGTGCAACAGAATTTAGGACAGTGATGGAGAATAGGGCAATGGGCTGTAGCAGCCAATGAACATCTGTGCATCTCTGAAAAATGAGAGGATGAAGTGGATGGTCTCTAAGTTCTTGTTGTCCTTCCCAAGGTCTTTCTTCTAAGAGTGATAATTGGATCTAGGAAGAGTTCCAAGGAAGATGGAGGGCACCCTAATTCCTATATGATTAAGTAAATGATGGCTGGGCCTTTTCTGAACCCTGACATTCCAGAAAATGGAATTACAGAATTCCAGCTGATTCACATAAGCATTAACCACATCTGCACACATAAAACAAAACAGAAATCAATTGACTATTATACCTATAAATGCCTTATTTCTCTGGAAATTTTCTTCTACTTTTTTTTGGGGGGGGGAGGCTGGTTGTTGATTATGTGGAGATGCATCTCCCATTTTTCCTTCCATGTGGGAACCATCTAATTTCAGTAAAGTACTCTTAGCTAGAACTTTCCCCAGGACCATGTCCAGATCAAGCATCCAATAAAGAGCATTTTACACTCAACAAAAACTGCTAAATGTGGTCGGAATTAAACACTGTTTCCGAGGCCTGTGATGCACTAGGGAGACACAGTGCTCCACAAGCACCTCACAATCACTGCAGTCATTCACAGAAATAAAAGTATTAGAACACACATTTTATAGCCTTTTATTTTCTACTAGGGGCCTGGTGCACGAAATTCGTGCACTGGGTGGGGGGGGGAGTGTCCCTCAGCCCAGCCTGCCCCCTCTCACATACTAGGAGCCCTCAGGCGTCCCAGGGAGATAGTGACTCTTCTCTAGAACACAGATACCAGCAGGTTTTCTGGACCTGAATTTTCTATTCAGAGCC